GTGGGACCTGCCCTGCCTGCAGCCCTCCTCTCTAGTCCAGGTCCAGTTTGTGTTATCTGATTATTTGATTATTATTTTTTGTATATTTGGGGGTGTGGTGGTGGGCTGAGCACTGGTGCCCCCGAGCAGGTGAGGAGGTTAGCAGATTACCCTGGGCAGGTAACACACACAGTCTGTTCTGCAGTATCTCCAGGGCTTTGCAGGCTGCACGTCCTAGCATACCTCCTCTTGTGCTTTTTGTTTGGAGGTTCCCACCAGTCTGGTCTCTGTTTGGAGACATTTCAGAGAAGATAGAGCCCAGCAGAGCGCATGGAACGTTCAGCTCCCCTTGTTCTCCTGGACAGCTCACCTCATCATCTACTCTCTGTGGATAGTTAACAAGTGTACCTGTGTTGTTTGGGGTGGGGGGGCTGGATATTCTTCATTCTGGTGGTAGTTTCCAGGAACAATCTTCTTAAGACTCCAATGACCATGTTCCAGCCAGCGGGAAAACGCTGCTTTACCATTGAATCTTTGGTGGCCAAGGACAATCACTTGACTTCAGAAGAACCCATCCGACCCACAGCCTTGAGCTACCCCAGCTCTACCGCAGACGCCTTTGTCAATGGCTTCCCCAGCCCGGCTGGTAGGTCCATCTACAACAACCCCGAGCTGGTCTTCCCCGAGGCGGTCAACCACCCGTCACTGACTGTCCACCCTCACCAGCTGGGGGCGTCCCACCTCCAGCACCCTCACTCCTTCTTTGGACCCCAGCACAGAGACCCCCTCAACTTCTATCCATGGGTGCTAAGGAACAGGTTCTTCGGCCACCGATTCCAAGGTAACCTTCCTACCAGGGTGAACTGAGGGCCACCGGGACCGTCTTACCAGGTGGTGATGTCTGGGGACACCTGGGTTAGATCTTCTCGCTAAACAGTGAATTGTGTAGATATGACAAGGTGCTGGTGGTATTGGGTCCTAAATAGCCAACTTGGGTCAAGATAAACCTCCCACTTGGAAATGATGGCCCCAATTTTGCAACTCGGGGGCCATCTCGCCAGAAACGAATGTTCTATGATAGTATAGACACTAAACACACAATTATCAGGTTAGGTTTATTACGAGGTATAATCATCTATACAATACAGGCCTATCACCAAGGGTATAATACCCAAGAACTCTCTGTCTTCACTTAGATAACAATTATGAAAATCACTATAATAATCAGTTAATTACTGGTGTCAACCAACTGTACTAGACAGAAAATTCGGCAAAACAGCTCACACTATTAGTGGAATAGAGATCTGTTTATACATTTACTTTCACCTCCTCAATTTATTTAGACATATGTGAGCGTGTTTACATTTTAATTAACATTTGTCATATAATGTTAATTTATTTTATTTATATGTACATATATTTACATATATGTAAAACTAACATTTTGTATATATATATATATATTAACAAAATGTTATATATAAAAATATAAAAATTATATATACAAATAAATAAAAATTAAATATATATATATCATTTTGATATTTTTATACATAACATTTTGTTTATATAAATATAATTCTTATCTCGTGTGCATTTACACTTATATACCTATCGAATAAAAATGGAGGTGCACTGATTTATCGTTTTAATGATAATGATCGCATCGTTGACACATATTTCACACACATTATCTTGCAGTGTCTTATTCGGTTAGATCGTTTTGCCAGGAAGCACCTGTCCCTGCTCTGTGTTGTGTCATGTTGTTACCGTTCAAATTAAGTTACATACCTGGGTTTGAGTGTAGAGGGTCAAATGGTAAAAAATAAAAAAATTAAAAATCTTAAATATTTAATTAGAATCTGCAATAAGATTTCTTTGACTATTTAATAACCAATACACGAATCATAACAAAAAAAATAATAAAATAAATGCATGATTTTTAGTAGAATAACATTGAGACGAATTACATTATTTTAAAGGTTTTATGACAGAGTTAGAGACTGATTGAATTAGTTGATTTACCCCCAAAAGAGAGTTTGTATTCAGGGTAACAGATTTTGTTAAGCACGGTTATCAAACAATGTTTTCCACCCAGAAATTATGAAGGGGATTTTAACAGCGAGATTTTCGTTGTGATTATTAGTTTTTTTGTTTATTTTGGTCAGAAGGGGGTTAGAAATCTTTATTTTACAAACTGATTTGAGATTTCTTTTTTGTTAGTCAGTGTAAATGATTGTTGGACTAAGAGGGTGTTTTAGCTCTGTCAGTCAAAGTGTTTTATAGTTCTGTCAGTGAAAGAGTGTTTTAGCTCTGTCACCGTAAGTGTTATATAGCTCTGTCTGTGAGAGTGTTTTAGCTCTGTCTGTGTAAGTGTTTAGCGCTAAAGTGTTTTAGCTCTGTCTGTGTAAGTGTTTTAGCTCTGTCTGTGTAATAGTGTTTAGTTCTGTCAGTGAGAGTGTTTTAGCTCTGTCTGTGTGAGTGTTTAGCGCTAAAGTGTTTTAGCTCTGTCTGTGTAAGAGTGTTTTAGCTCTGTTTGTGTAAGAGTGTTTAGCTCTGTCTGTGTGAGAGTGTTTCGCTCTGTCTGTGTGAGAGTGTTTTAGCTCTGTCTGTGTAAGAGTGTTTCGCTCTGTCTGTGTGAGAGTGTTTTAGCTCTGTCTGTGTAAGAGTGTTTTAGCTCTGTCTGTGTGAGAGTGTTTAGCGCTATCTGTGAGAGTGTTTTAGCTCTGTCTGTGTGAGAGTGTTTAGCTATGTCTGTGTAAGAGTGTTTTAGCTCTGTCTGTGTGAGAGTGTTTAGCTTTGTCAGTGAGAGTGTTTTTTTAACTCTGTCATTGAAAAAATGTTTTAGCTCTGTCTGTGTAAGAGTGTTTTAGCTCTGTCTGTGTAAGAGTGTTTAGCTCTGTCTGTGTGAGAGTGTTTAGCTTTGTCTGTTAGAGTTTTTTTAGCTCTTTCAGTGAAAGAGTGTTTTAGCTCTGTCAGTGTGAGCCGTTTAGCTCTCTCAGTGAGAGTGTTTTAAAGCTCTGTCAGTGACACATTTTTGTCCGAATCAGTGTGAAAGGAAATTTTGACAGAGGGAGTGTGAATGTTAGTGTCAAATATTTTATGGAATGATATCCGATAGATTCAGTGATAGGGTGATCATATTCAGTGGCAAAATGATCTGTGTCAGTAAAAGTGTGATCTGTGTTAGTCAGTGAGTGTCAGTTAGAGTGTGTGTGATCTGTGTCAGTCAGTGAGTGGTGTCAGTGACAGAGTGTGATCTGTGTCAGTGAGTGTCAGTGAGAGAGTGTGATCTGTGTCAGTCAGTGAGTGTCAGTGAGAGTGTGATCTGTTTCAGTCAGTGAGTGTCAGTGAGAGAGTGGGATCTGTGTCAGTGAGTGTGTGATCTGTCAGTCAGTGAGTGTCAGTGAGTGTCAGTGAGAGTGTGATCTGTCAGTCAGTGAGTGTCAGTGAGAGAGTGTGATCTGTGTCAGTCAGTGAGTGTTAGTGAGAGAGTGGGATCTGTGTCAGTGACTGTCAGTGAGAGTGTGATCTGTCAGTCAGTGAGTGTCAGTGAGAGTGTGATCTGTGTCAGTCAGTGAGTGTTAGTGAGAGAGTGGGATCTATGTCAGTGACTGTCAGTGAGAGTGTGATCTGTCAGTCAGTGAGTGTCAGTGAGAGAGTGTGATCTGTGTCAATGACTGTCAGTGAGAGAGTGGGATCTGTGTCAGTGAGTGAGTGTCAGTGAGAGAGTGTGATCTGTGTCAGTGAGTGAGTGTCAGTGAGAGAGTGTGATCTGTGTCAGTGAGTGAGTGTCAGTGAGAGAGTGTGATCTGTGTCAGTCAGTGAGTGTCAGTGAGAGAGTGGGATCTGTGTCAGTGAGTGTCAGTGAGAGAGTGGGACCTCTGTCAGTGAGTAAGTGCCAGTGAGAGAGTGGGATCTGTGTCAGTCAGTGAGTGTTAGTGAGACAGGAGCATCATTCATTTTATTTTTTAAGGGAGATAGATATGTTTTTGCAGTAGTTATGGTTAAGAGCTGTATTTTAATTAAGGGAATGTGAGGATTTAGTGTTTAATAACACAGACTGACAGCAGATATCAGGAAGCTTACAGGACCCTCCCCCCCCCCCCCCCCCCCTTTCCACCCCAACTCATTACAGGGTTATGGATGTAAATCCAGAGCAGGCTTTCACTGGGACCACTATAGCAGAGAGATGGATCATCAAAGCTGCCATTGTTCCTGGGGAGAGAAAGCAGCTTGTTTTATCTGCAGGGATGGAAGTTGCCCCATTGCCCCAGGCTGTGTGATTCCCCAGCATGGCTCCTGGCAGATAGCTGGATTAGTGGTCACATACAGCCAGGATTACACCATCCATACATTATCCCAGAGAGGTTGTGGTATCACTAGTGGGGAAAAGTGCACAGACTGTGTGAGAGTGAACATTTACACACAGTCTGCCTTCACTGATATTATATATAGTATTAGATATCACTAATATTACTTTATATCACTAATAATATTATATATCACTAATATTATTAATCCCTAATATTAATATTAATAGTATTATACATTACTAATATTACTATATATCACTAATATTACTTTATATCACTAATAGTATTATATATCACCAATATTACTTTATATCGCTAATAGTATTATATATCACTAATATTACTTTATATCGCTTATAGTGTTATATATCACTAATATTACTTTATATCACTAATAGTATTATATATAGCTAATATTATTTTATAGCACTAATAGTATTATATATCACTAATATTACTAATATCACTAAGTATGTCCTGGGTCCACAAAACATTGTATTGTTACAATAGGATACAATATTACAAAAAAAGACAATATACAAACAATATATATTATACATACACACATATATAAATATTTAACATAAAACAGGCAATAAATATATTCAACCATGCCAGGTGCATTCTGTGCTGAGGCATATTGCCATAGATATCTGAAAAGAGTTTAGATTAAATGAAGATTTGACTGTGTCCCTGAGGTTATTCCATAATTGCAGTGCTCTGTAGGAAAATGAGAATTGAGCCACTTTATTTCTGTATTGCAGTATGCTAAATATTGTGCTAGTACTGGATCGGAGGTTATATATCACTATTAATAGTATTATATATCAGTAATAATATTATATTTCACTAATAGTATTATATATCACTTATATTACTTTATATCACTAATATTACTATGCATCACTAATAGCACTATATAGAACTTATATTACTATATATATATGACTAATATTATTATATATCAGTAATAATATTACTAATAGTAATATATATTGCTGATAGTATTACATATCACTAAAATTACCATATATACCTGTATATATCGTTAATAGTATTATATATCACTAATATTACCATGTATCACTAATAGCATTATATATTACTTATATTACAATATAAATCACTAATAGTATTAGATATTACTAATATCACTATATATATCACTAATAGTATTAAATATCAGTAATAGTATTATATATCGCTGATAGTATTATATATCACTAATATTACTATATACCACCTGAATGTATCGCTGACTATATATATATCATTATACCTCTTTCTCTGACTCTCTCTTTCTCTGTCTCTCACTCTCGCTCTGTCTCACTTTTCCTCTCTGTCTGTCTCTCTTCCACTCTCTCTGAGATGAAATAGTTTGATTGAAAGCAGCTATAGACACTGATGATATTTTAGGCAACATGAACTGTTATTTGGCTCTCAAAAACCCTCTGTCTCTCTTTCTGTCTGTCTCTCTGGATCTATATGTATGTCTCTCTCTCCTGTCTAACTTTTTTTTTAGCTATGTGTGTCTGTCTTTCTTATTGTAAGTACGTCTGTCTCCTTGGATCTCTGTCTGTTCCTTTGGCCCTCTTTCTGTCTGTCTCTCTTTCTGTCTGTCTCTCTTGGTTTCTGTCTGTCTGCCAATTTGCTAGCCTTATTTCTCTCTGGCTGCTATCAGTGTTTAGTTTGTTTTTTGTTGTTGGTGTTGTTAGTATTATAATCATTCATAAAGCACCGATATATTCCGCAGTGATTTACAATTAAGGGAAGGGTATATTAGTGGCAAAGAGAGCTCTAATCAATTGAGATTACAATCTGTGTGATTATGTTTCTCCCTGTCTGTCTTTGGTTGTCTATCTCCGTCTCTGGCATGCTACCTCGTTATGGCACTCAGTCACTGTCTCTGTATTTGGACACTGTCTGTCACTCTTGCTCTGTAGCTCTCCTCTCTGTGACCATCTATATCTTATCTTGTGTATTTTTAAGTATATTCACACATACAGGGCCAAGTGTATTGACCAATTATTATTCTCACGTTCAACACAATATTGGAATGCACTCAGCAACAATGTTGTAAAAATGATTGATATTAAATATTATATGTAAAATTATTGAATATTAAGTAAGTGCACAGTCCACTGCATGACCCAGAGAGTGAATACTCAGTCGTACTCTATACACAGTGCAATGTATGTTTCAGAAATTGAATACTCAGTCATACTCTATACACAGTGCACTGCATGGCCCAAAGAGTGAAAACTCAGTCATACTCTATACACAGTGCACTGCATGGCCCAAAGAGTGAATATTCAGTCATACACTATAGACAGGGCACTGGGCCAGAAAGTGAATACTCAGTCATACTCTATACACAGTTCACTTCATGGTACAGAGAGTTGATACTCAGTCATACCCTATACAAAGTGCACTGCATGGCCCAGAGAGTGAATGCTCAGTCATACTCTATACACAGTGCACTGCATGGTACAGAGAGTAAATACTCAGTCATACTCTATACACAGTGCACTGCATGGCCCAGTGAGTGGATACTCAGTCATACTCTATACACAGTGCACTGCATGGCCTAGAGAATGAATACTCAGTCATACTCTATACACAGTGCACTGCATGGCCCAAAGAGTGAATACTCAGACATACTCTATACACAGTGCACTGGGCCAGAAAGTGAATACTCAGTCATACTCTATACACAGTGCACTGCATGGCCCAGAGAGTGAAAATTCAGTCATATTCTATGAACAGTGTACTGCATGGTACATAGAGTGAATACTCAGTCATTCTCTATGCACAGTGCACTGCATGGCCCAGAGAATAAATACTCAGCCGTACCCTATACAAAGTGCACCGCATGGTACAGAGAGTAAATACTCAGTCATACTCTATACACAGTGCACTGCATGGCTCAGAGAGTGAAAACTCAGTCATACTCTATACACAGTGCACTGCATGGCCCAGAGAATGAATACTCAGTCATACTCTATACACAGTGCACTGCCTGACCCAGAGAGTGAATACTCAGTCGTACTCTATACACAGTGCACTGCATGGCTCAGAGAGTGAATACTTAGTCATACTCTATACACAGTGCACTGCATGGCTCAGAGAGTGAAAACTCAGTCATACTCTATACACAGTGCACTGCATGGCCCAGAGAATGAATACTCAGTCATACTCTATACACAGTGCACTGCATGGCCCAGAGAATGAATACTCAGTCATACTCTATACACAGTGCACTGCATGGCCCAGTGAGTGGATACTCATTCATACTCTATACACAGTGCACTGCATGGCCCAGAGAGTGAATACTTAGTCATACTCTATACACAGTGCATTGTATGGCCCAGAGAATGAATACTCAGTCATACTCTATACACAGTGCACTACATGGCCCAGAGAGTGAATATTCAGTCATACACTATAGACAGTGCACTGCATGGTACAGAGAGTTCATACTCAGTTATATTCTATACACAGTGCACTGCATGGCCCAGAGAGTGAATACTCAGACATACTCTATACACAGTGCACTGCATGGCCCAATGAGTGGATACCCAGTCATACTCTATACACAGTGCACTGCATGGCCCAGTGAGTGGATACCCAGTCATACTCTATACACAGTGCACTGCATGGCCCAGAGAGTGAATACTCAGACATACTCTATACACAGGGCACTGCATGGCCCAGAGAGTGAATATTCAGTCATACACTATAGACAGTGCACTGCATGGCCCAGTGAGTGGATACCCAGTCATACTCTATACACAGTGCACTGCATGGCCCAGAGAGTGAATACTCAGACATACTCTATACACAGGGCACTGCATGGCCCAGAGAATGAATACCCAGTCATACTCTATGCACAGTGCACTGCATGGCCCAGAGAGTAAATATCCAGTTATGCTCAGTTTTGTTATAAGATAAAAATTCTGCTGCAGGTCCCAGAGTACTTCATTACTGATACCTTTACAGTTACTGCTGGACTAAGGGAGAGATCTGTAATACTACTAATTCACACTATGCTGCAGGGCTGAGGGGGAGTACTGCTGGACTAAGGGAGAAATCTGTAATAATACTAATAATTCAAACTATGCTGCAGGGCTGAGGGGGAGTACTGCTACTAATAAAGTCACACTATGCTGCAGGGCTGAGGGGGAGAGCTTTAATACTACTAATAAAGTCACACTATTCTGCAGGGCTGAGGGGGAGTATTGTAATACTACTAAACACATACTGTACTGCTGGACTGACAAAGAGAGTACTGTAATACTACTAAACCCATACTGTACTGCAATACTGATAGAGAGAGTACTGTAATACTACTAACCCCATACTGTATTACAGTACTGATAGAGAGAGTGCTGTAATACTACTAAACCCATACTGTACTACTGCAGGACTGATAGAGAGAGTAATACCACTAAACCCATACTGTACTGCAGGACTCATAGAGTACTGTAGTACTACTAAACCCATACAGTACTGCAAAACTGATAAAGAGAGTACTGTTATACTACTAAACCCATACTGTACTGCATGACTGATAGAGTACTGTAATACTAGTAAACCGATACTGTACTGCAGGACTGAAAGAGAGCGTAATGCAATACTACTATACCCATACTGTACTGCAGGACTGATAGAGAGAGTAATACTACTAAACCCATACTGTACTGCAGGACTGATAGAGAGAGTACTGTAATACTACTAAACACATATTGTACTGCAGTACTGATATAGAGAGTACTGTAATACTACTAAACCCATACTGTACTGCAGGACTGATAGAGAGAGTACTGTAATACTACTAAACCCATACTGTACTGCAGTACTGATATAGAGAGAGTGCTGTAATATTACTAAACACATACTGTACTGCAGTACTGATAGAGTACTGTAATACTACTAAACACATACTGTACTGCAGGACTGAAAGAGAGAGTACTGTCATACTACTAAACCCATACTGTACTGCAGGACTGAAAGAGAGAGTACTGTCATACTACTAAACCCATACTGTACTGCAGGACTGATAGAGTAAAGTAATACTACAAAACCATACAGTACTGCAAGACTGATAGAGAGAGAACTGTAATACTACTAAACCCATGGTGTCGTGCAGTACTGATAGAGAGATACTGTAATACTACTAAACCCATACTGTACTGCAGGACTGATAGAGAGAGTACTGTAATACCACAAAACACATACTGAACTGCAGGACTGATAGAGAGAGTATTGTAATACTACTAAACCCATACGGTACTGCAATACTGATAGAGAGAGTAATTTAATACCACTAAACACATACTGTACTGCAGGACTGATAGAGAGAGTAATGTAATACTACTAAACACATACTGTACTGCAGGACTGATAGAGAGAGTACTGTAATACTACTAAACTCATCCAGTACGGCTGGACTGATAGACAGAGTACTGTAATACTACTAAACACATACTGTACTGCATGACTGATAGAGAGAGTACTGTAATACTACTAAACCCATACTGTACTGCAGGACTGATAGAGAGAGTAATGTAATACCACTAAACACATACTGTACTGCAGGACTGATAGAGTACTGTAATACTACTAAACACATACTGTACTGCATGACTGATAGAGAGAGTACTGTAATACTACTAAACCCATACTGTACTGCAGGACTGATAGAGAGAGTAATGTAATACTACTAAACACATACTGTACTGCAGGACTGATAGAGTACTGTAATACTACAAAACCCATACTGTACTGCAGGACTGATAGAGAGAGTACAGTAATACTACTAAACCCATACTGTACTGCAGGACTGATAGAGAGAGTAATGTAATACCACTAAACACATACTGTACTGCAGGACTGATAGAGAGAGTAATGAAATACTACTAAACACATACTGTACTGCAGGACTGATAGAGTACTGTAATACTACAAAACCCATACTGTACTGCAGGACTGATAGAGAGAGTACAGTAATACTACTAAACCCATACTGTACGGCAGCACTGATAGACAGAGTACTGTAATACTACTAAACACATACTGTACTGCATGACTGATAGAGAGAGTACTGTAATACTACTAAACCCATACTGTACTGCAGGACTGATAGAGAGAGTAATGTAATACCACTAAACACATACTGTACTGCAGGACTGATAGAGAGAGTAATGTAATACTACTAAACACATACTGTACTGCAGGACTGATAGAGTACTGTAATACTACAAAACCCATACTGTACTGCAGGACTGATAGAGAGAGTACAGTAATACTACTAAACCCATACTGTACGGCAGCACTGATAGACAGAGTACTGTAATACTACTAAACACATACTGTACTGCAGGACTAATAGAGTACATTAATACTACTAAACCCATACTGTACTGCAGGACTGATAGAGAGAGTACTGTAATACTACTAAACCCATACTGTACTGCAGGACTGATAGAGTACATTAATACTACTAAACACATACTGTACTGCATGACTGATAGAGAGTACTGTAATACTACTAAACCCATACTGTACTGCAGAACTGATAGAGAGAGTACTGTAATATTACTAAACACATACTGTACTGCAGTACTGATATAGTACTGTAATACTACTAAACACATACTGTACTGCAGGACTGAAAGAGAGAGAGTACATTAATACTACTAAACCCATACTGTACTGCAGGACTGATAGAGAGAGTACTGTAATACTACAAAACCATACAGTACTGCAAGACTGATAGAGAGAGAACTGTAATACTACTAAACCCATGGTGTTGTGCAGTACTGATAGAGAGAGTACTGTAATACTACTAAACCCATACTGTACTGCAGGACTGATAGAGAGAGTACTGTACTACTAAACCCTACTCTACTGCAGAACTGATAGAGAGAGTAATACTACTAAACCCATACTGTACTGCAGGACTGATAGAGAGAGTACTGTAATACCACAAAACACATACTGAACTGCAGGACTGATAGAGAGAGTATTGTAATACTACTAAACCCATACGGTACTGCAATACTGATAGAGAGAGTAATTTAATACCACTAAACACATACTGTACTGCAGGACTGATAGAGAGAGTAATGTAATACTACTAAACACATACTGTACTGCAGGACTGATAGAGAGAGTACTGTAATACTACTAAACCCATCCAGTACGGCTGGACTGATAGACAGACTACTGTAATACTACTAAACACATACTGTACTGCATGACTGATAGAGAGAGTACTGTAATACTACTAAACCCATACTGTACTGCAGGACTGATAGAGAGAGTAATGTAATACCACTAAACACATACTGTACTGCAGGACTGATAGAGACTGAGTAGATGAGAGTACTGTAATACTACTAAACACATACTGTACTGCAGGACTGATAGAGAGAGTACTGTAATACTACAAAACCCATACTGTACTGCAGGACTGATAGAGAGAGTACTGTAATACTACTAAACCCATACTGTACGGCAGCACTGATAGACAGAGTACTGTAATACTACTAAACACATACTGTACTGCAGGACTAATAGAGTACATTAATACTACTAAACCCATACTGTACTGCAGGACTGATAGAGAGAGTACTGTAATACTACTAAACCCATACTGTACTGCAGGACTGATAGAGTACATTAATACTACTAAACACATACTGTACTGCATGACTGATAGAGAGTACTGTAATACTACTAAACCCATACTGTACTGCAGAACTGATAGAGAGAGTACTGTAATATTACGAAACACATACTGTACTGCAGTACTGATAGAGTACTGTAATACTACTAAACACATACTGTACTGCAGGACTGAAAGAGAGAGTACATTAATACTACTAAACCCATACTGTACTGCAGGACTGATAGAGAGAGTACTGTAATACTACAAAACCATACAGTACTGCAAGACTGATAGAGAGAGAACTGTAATACTACTAAACCCATGGTGTCGTGCAGTACTGATAGAGAGAGTACTGTAATACTACTAAACCCATACTGTACTGCAGGACTGATAGAGAGAGAGTACTGTACTACTAAACCCTACTCTACTGCAGAACTGATAGAGAGAGTAATACTACTAAACCCATACTGTACTGCAGGACTGATAGAGAGAGTACTGTAATACTACTAAACCCATACTGTACTGCAATACTGATAGAGAGAGTAATTTAATACCACTAAACACATACTGTACTGCAGGACTGATAGAGAGAGTACTGTAATACTACTAAACCCATACTATTTTGAGTACTAAAAGAGTACCGTAATACTACTAGACCCATATGAACCCAAGTTAGCTATAGTTAAGGTATGTAGTAATACTTTTTTTAATAGTTTGTTTATTGTGTGTGTATTGGGGACATAACAGCAAGCCTTGTTTCCCAGTGATGTACCTTGCTCACTGAGTGCAGGGACTGACCTGTGCAATCACCCAGGGTTCCCCACTCACATTATGGGTTTAAGACCGATGTACTTAGAGGTGAGAGATGACATCTAACCTGCTAATTGGTTCCATAGAGTATGGTGGGATCCTAATGTATCCACTGATAATTAGCATCCCATTGTTGGGGCAGTGTCCTGATTAGTGTGATAGGCCATTGATCACAGGACTCGGTCAGCCTGTTTATTGAGACATCCAGGAGTCAGGGAGGATGTTAGTGACATAAAGAGATTTTAACCAACAGGTCAACTAGTGCCATTACATCAATATGTATACTTCAAACATAAAGTGAGAGCTCTTATGAAAGCCAGGGCTGTATCCAGTTTCCTGTAGGGATCGTGCTAATTGTGATCTCACTATTATAATTCAGATTAAAGCATATTAGACAATGTCTTATCCAAGTGAGCTGTCTGTATCCTGTTTAATGTGATGGTTTTCTTAATGTGATGGGAGTTAAAGTCCATGCCTGGGAATACCTATTATGTGGAACCATTAATTAACTCATGCCCCCATTCAATAAAATACCAATAAATAATAATACATGGATTCTACATTGTGTCACTTGTGTCAGAAGTTACACATTGCTCAGTAAATGTATTTAGAACACATTTGAGCCTACTTTCTAAAACCTCATTACCAGTAATTAGCCTGGCTTTTAGTGCATGCTAGGGATATATTTATGGGAAGCAGAAATCTCCCAAACATTGCATAGATAGAGGGCTTATTGATTTCTACATGTGCACTGCCTTAATTCTTCCACAGTATAGCAATAATCTAATTATTGGATTAAAAGATCTGTTTCTGCTATCATTCAAATAATAATCCAGAGAGGGCTGTACATCAGATAATCATTTAACAACCTATTTATTAAATGTCCATTGAGTACATGGACACACAATGCCCATATGTATTCCTTTATTGTTTGTGTAAAGATGTGCAAACCAGATGTAAATAATCAATTTATTGTAGATCTGCTCCAAATATTATTTGTGTATAATTTAAAGGTACATTTCAGGGGTTTTAATCTTTTTTTTTTTTTTCAATTTGAATTAGAATTATTATTTTTGATATGTTTATTTTTTAGCGCATTACAAACTCACAACTCCTATCATGCTCAGCCAACCACACTCTGCCTGAGCTTGCTGGGAATCGTCATTCAACTTTCACACTACCTCTCTGTGACACCAGTCTAGCAGTGAAAAGGTTAAATACAGGACTTCCCAGCAGTTAGTTAAATCAATGTCACTTGTCACTGGAACCACATTAAAGCCCCCTCAACCCCTTCCTATTGATGGGAGATCAGATAAAGGTTTCTTCTCTAATAAAGGTCCCTCCTCGGGCAGTGTGCTCTCTAACAGCCATTTCAATGGGCTAATTGCAGAGCTGGGTTCCAGCAGCAGAAATGTGGGTTAAAGGCAGGGGAGGGAGGGGGCTGTTTGGAAATGTCTGATTGAGCAAATGGAGCTGTTTATTTGTGTCTTGAAGTAATGTTCCTCTGTATTCCACCTCCTATTCCCTTCTAAGTGCTAATTGTTAACCTGCACATATTTGTTTTACAGTCTTCCAGGCACTTGCGTTGTGTAGTAAACAATTTAGTGGCCTCACTGTCCAATTTTACCATCTTTCATTCTCCCCCTTGTCATAAACAAAGCAATCCTATATCATTCGAGCACATAAACAACTCATATGTTCATTCCATGCAGCAGGCAGACACAGAGTGTCTACTTATTGGCATCTCCAAAACAACTCACAGGAAAGGATTTGTTACTAGAAATCTTCACACAGACATTGCCTCTGGTGTACAAAGTGTTAATAATCCCCTGGACCCACTCATATAATTCATTCATCTAACTTTATCTTATGATATCTTTCTTAATTTTCCCAATAAGAATACATATTGCACAGTTTTCTTCCAACTCTTTAAGGGTTAATACAGTATATGGTTTAACTATAAAATAAAAATGGCTAATTTTGCCTACATTTTGCAAATTCTCCCTCCAGCTTACTATGGAATTAATATTTTCGACATTTATTTAAGTTGCAGAAATGGCTTCAATAAAATAATTATTGAATTGTCAGAATAAATATTATAAAATATTTTGCAGTACTCAAATATAATAAAAAATGCCAATTCAGTTTACAAATATTATGTGCAAAATTATATTAATATATTATTATTATTATTATTATTATTATTTTATAACATATTTATATTATGGCACTGGTTAAAGCAGGTTAATGTTTGATTAAAAAATTTCATGTGTGTTAAACTGGGGGCATACTATTATGCTTAATGTTTGAGTGTTGTAAAGTAAAATTTACAGTTAAATAATATTTTACTATATTATAATTAACTGTTTTTACGCTGTTTTTGGAGTCTTAATAATAATAGTTATCAGTTTTGATAATATTTTCCAAAGAATAAGATTTTTTTTTTAATATTTAACTCAGGCTTAGTAAAAGAGCATTTTAACAGTAAGTCATGTCAACATTTTGAATGTTAAAATGTAATGTCAGATAAAAAAAAAGCTAAAACAATTCAGTTAAACACTTTAAATGAAAACAAAATAAATTCAATTCCAAACTAAAACTAAACTGGGATAACATGGTATGCCATTATTCCAACATATGATACCTTAATTTAACAAAAATTTAACAGAATAGACATTTAAAAAAAATTACCCTACAAACAAAATATTTAGATAACAATAAAAACTGTAAGTGTATTTGGGTTTAACGTGCATTCGATTTTAATTATTGCTAAATATATGAATTTATTGAAACTACTATCATGGTATAATTTTGCAGTTAATGTAAACATAATATCATTTATTTTTATTATCAATTTTAAAAATAAATACATTTTATGGAAAGCAAATATTTGTTTGCAAGTTCAAAATATTATAGTTATTATCATTACATATTTATACAACAAATAGAATTGGCAGAATTTAATACATTTTAAAAAGCTACAGTTTGCAAAAAACAAAACAAAAAACCCTATATTAATCACTTCAGGACATGAGTCAAATTTATTAATACAGTGCTATCCCTTGAGTTAGAATTTAAGATCAGAAACAAAAATGTAATACTGATCGGATCTGTCTATTAAACAATGATTTGTATGGATTTTGAAAAAAAAATGGATTTTGGCACACATTGTTAAATTAGCCACAAAACATTAAATAAAATGAAAAAATATATATTTTTTTAAATTTAGATTTTCTTTTCAAAAAATTTATTTTGGCATAAATATTGGTTGTCAGATTGGTAGTGACTAGGTCCCTATTGTTAAAGTTCATTCAAATTTGACTAATTGTTATTTATATACAAATATTCTTTTTTATTAAACATGCACTTTTAATTTTACAACTTTTTAAAATTATTTAGTTTCCTTATGTCCAATGGGTTCTGTATAATAACACCTTCTGTAAAGCTAAAATAATATAATTTAAAATCAATACAAACATGCTTGAGTAGTCCGTTCAATTTCAGTGCATTCAAAATAAGTATGAGATTAACGTGGAATGCTCTTTCAAGTAGATTACTACATCATTTAGCATTCCGTTGTTCCCAAATAAGTATGGTTAAAGAGGCTGAGTACGATTCTTTACAATAATTTCTTTAAGCAAAAAAAAACACCTTTTTTAAATTAAAATAATTGGTGAATTTACAACAGTGTTAAGCTCACAATTTATGTTCTCTATTACTATTCAAATTTAACAAACTATTTTATTTCTATTGTATTGTTTGTCATGATCATACATGCTTTAGATGCTGTTTTCCATTTTAAATTTTAAATTTGAAAATACATTCGAAAGAACATCTAACACAATAACAAACTTTTTAATATATATATATATTCAAATGTATCTAATTTTTAAATTTTTTAATAAAATTTTACTTTGCTCTTTTTATTTTCTTATTTAATTTTAATATTACAATACAGATTCTCATTAATTGTATTACTCGCAAAGTATATTCACACAACATATTCCCAATATACTTTTAATATCTCTCTCTATGTATCTTTGTAATCAGAATATAATGGTCAAGTAATGTTTCCCAATTATGAAAGTGTCTAAATCGAAATTATAATTTTTTTCAGTGCTAATTCTCAAATTATTATACCCATAAATCCTCCATCAGAATTTATATATTTATATTGTGAGATATTGTAACTCCAAAAAATATCTGTCTCTCTATATTAGCTTTTTCCATCTTTCTACAAAAAATAATGTTTTGTGTGTACTTCATGTTTTACTCAAAATATTTAACTTTTTTATTTACTATATTCATTTCTAAATAATATTATAAAATGTTATTTTTTCAACAGTTTATAAATCAATATACTGTATTTGTATTCCATACACACACACATGTACAAACACAACAGCATTTTTGAATTTATAAGATTGGATGTGTTTTTGTGTGCTTTGCGATTCTAAAAAGATTCAATGCAGTATCATCGTGCATTCACAATATTTCAATAAGCAAATGCTTATTTGGTTTCCTTTTTCTACGTAACGGATCAAAGCATTAAGTTTGTATTTTTAATTTAGACAGTGTAAAAATTGTAATTGCAAGCTCATTTCAGCAGAACCATCTTCTTCCTATGTATCTCTCAACATTATTATTTTTTATTTTTTGTTTGTAAATATCTGTTTATTTAGACAAGAGGTTCACCCATCATTATTTTTAACTGTCAAATACCTACGGTTATTATTTCCACACTGTAATGTAAATGTAAATATAAAGCACTATGGAATGTGTTGACGCTATAAATGCTGATAATTATTATTAATAATAAGGGAATCGTGTAATTATTTTACTTTTTTCCTACACACTCTTTTTTATTTTTCCCCCTGCATGTGTATGTTGTCCTTAAGAAATGTAGCTCAATGCAAAGTCTTGTATTTACTTTATTAATGCAAACTATGCGTTTTATCTCAGATAAACATTCTATTCTATGAATATAACTTTATAATTTGACATCACACGAACAAGAGAGTAGCGAAACCTTGTCATTCCAAAATACTGTTAGTCCAAAAAAACAAACCATGAAATTTTCATGTCTTGTTAGAATTTATGGGAATCGATGCAGTTATTTGGTGACTGACATGTAGAGTACACTGCAGATTGTAGCTTTAGTTTTTGGAGATAAGTTGCCGTGGTGACATGAGAAATAAGTTCAAAAATGTATTGGAGATCCAGAGTTAGTAGCCCAGCAATGATACGCCATTGTCCAATAGACTAGCTGGGTATTATTGTTGTTTTTAATTATAAGGAGCCAGCATTTGGCAGAGTGCTGTACCATAGGTGGATACACATAAAAGTTGGATGTACAACAACAAAAGGGCCCTGCTCCAACAGTTTACATTGTAAGGCCAGCAGACATAATCTGTTTTAAATTGCCTATCCAATTTCTGTCTGGCCAGGCATGATGAGGGTTGGAGGATACAAATGTTAGAGTTATAGTGGTGTCATTTTAGTGAGATAGTGATTTCTCATTTAACCCTTTCTCATTGATTGTCTAATTCAGCCATGCGTCAGTGAACATAACATATTTTACAGGGGGAAAAAAAGATGTAAATTTCATTCAGAAATACAGCAGGTATCGGAGTTTATCATATATACTTTTTGTAAAGACAAACATAAATGTACCCTTTAATATTATTACTAATATGACCATATTAAATGCATATGCATATATTTTTTTATTATTATTATTTTACATTTATAATTTTCTTCTGTTTTTAAGACCCTGATTTAGTATATGAAAATATGCCTAGTTAATAGATGGGTTCTGCAAACATTTAATTTTTAATAGTTAATAGTTAATTCTTAGGTATTTTTCAGTCGGTGACTTGGAAACGCAATTCTCAACATTTTTAAATAAATCTAAAATAAAAAGCAGAGAACACTTTTTCTGTGAACAATTCAGTGATTGAAATCTCGGTCCGCTGATGTTTCAGTTTCCTGAGAACATCTCATGATTAGCTCTGTAACAGCTGTATAAACGTATTTATAAAAATCTGTTCCTTTAACCTGCTAAGGAGCAACGATGGCCTATGTCATCATAGCAATCTGTTCCTTAGAGACTCTACTCTGACATGAATTACTCATTTAGCATTATCCGAGCGCTGTAGAGCTGGTGCTTAAATATAAGTACAACCTTCCTTGCTAGCAACGCATTTTAAGACCCGTGCTGGGATGATGCCAGGAGTTGTCAATCTTTCTTCTTAATTTGTCAACAGTAAAGAAATAAAAATACTTTAATCACAAATGGACATTTATTTTAACCACCATAATTCAGTTTCTATTATTTGATATTAATAAGATGAAGTACTTGAGAATTAATATCACTTATTTCTTACATATGTTTAAACAATTTATAGCTATTTTTGCATAGAAACCTGCATTTAATATATTTACATTTTCTCTCTGAATATCTGGTCACATTGCCCCAAAGGCATCAAGTGGGTGCGTGTGGGCATTTATTTTATGGACAAAAGAGAAAATTAATTTTTGTTTCCTAATGAAAATGTTTACTTAGCTGTACCTATCATGTTCTGCTTCAATCAGACAAGCTTAAATAAAATTGTACGCACTTCCTTGTTTCCTACAGTTATGTAGTTGGGGTACAGGTAGACATTATTTACTCAAATTGTATTGAGAAGCAGGATCCCAGCCAAAAAAAACTGTTTAAATGTTAGATATAAAAAAAGATTATTTTTAATGGGTAACTTCACATCACTCACTTACTGCCTTCCCCAGTAGAATGGAGATTTCTTTAGATTCTGAAGAATCTAATGATGGAATTTATATTAGTTAGACAGTTTGTTATTTATCAAATTTATTACATCAAAATATGCTCTTACATGGTGGTCACCGTTGTATTGTGTCATGTGATGTTTGAGTTCCACCTCCTACTTTTAGATCTCATTGTGCTGTTTGCTTTATGACAGGACTTAACGTTAAGTCACAACGTCTTTAAAAAGTCTTTTTCTAGATCATAAATAGTCATTATTATTATTATTATTATTTTATTATTTATATAGCGCCATCAGATTCCGTAGCGCTGTACATTGGGTGGACTAACAGACATGTAATTGTAACCAGACAACTGGACGTACAGGAACAGAGAGGTGGAGGGCCCTGCTCAATGAGCTTACATTCTAGAGTTATAGTTATAAGATCTACCCGAGGCAGTGAAACCTGTGGATTTAAGATAAGAACTGGTTAGTTCAATCTAGGAAAATAAGATTAAATGAGAAAGTCACACACAAATGACAACAGTTCTCAGCAGTTACAGACACTGTATTTCTAAAAAGCATGCATTATTTTTATACTGCTAAGTTTGCAGTGCTTTTTATAAACTTATTTTAATAACATATCTGTACCCCTTTTACATTGCTTGTTCTTTTGTGTTTAGCGGGGGATATCTCCGATATCTCGATTGGTTATATGCTATGCAGTACAGTACCATGGTATACGTAAAATGGTATGGTATACCATGGTATACATTTAAAAATAAATGAAGTAATAATGACACATGTATTTGTAAATAAAGAATAAGTTAGGAAGGATTTAAAATGATTTGGCCGAGCCAAAGTCTAACCTTTATCCACTAACAGATAACTTGAGCGTTAAATGCTATTTAGAATCTCTTTCTGCATGTATATACCTCTCAGTCCAGTGAGCGAAACTGTGGGGTCTATTCTCTAAACTCTGATCAGCGGTGCATTGAGAATTAGCTTGGAATATTTATGCCAAAATTAAAGATGCAAAAAATTGCCAACTCCGCTGTACATTATTTTTTGTATGACTGCTGTTCCATATTACCCTAAGCAGCCAGACAGGTTTGGCTATTGCCCGGGAACGACTGTAGTCCTGAAATGTGTGTGTGTGTGTGTGTGTGTGCATGTGTGTGTGTGTGCATGTATGAGTGTGTGGGTATGTGGGTGTGCATGTATGAGTGTGTGGGTGTGTGGGTGTGCATGTGTGTGTGTGTGTGTGTGTGTGTGCATGTGTGAGTGTGTGTGTGCATGTGTGTTTGTGTGCATGTGTGAGTGTGTGTGTGTGTGTGTGCATGTGTGTGTGTGTTTTAATCCAACTATAAACCTTTTACTGACAGAGGAGTGTGCAACATGTTTTACACCCCACTGTTCTCAAAGGGTTAATAATCCTGGGCATTCTTCCTGCACCATAACGGTGGCCGTGGGTACATGGCAGAACTGAAATGAGGCATTTATCAAAGTTTGCATGCAGTGAAATCTCTACCCTGCATGCAATAAACACTTCCTGAAGATTATTATGATTAAACGTCCGTAAGGATTAACTCCAACATGTTAAAATAACACTGCTACGATCTGCGGCAACCAGCAAACACACGCAGTGCTTTCATAAGCCAAGCTCTGATAGTATTATGTCATCTGTAAAAAAGGAAACTAAATGTGTTTATTTATATTACACAATTTGAGGTTTCTCGTTTAAACTCAGCAAATGGAGGGGGGCATTTACTACATTTACTATGAGTTTGTAAAAAACCTTGTATATAAAATAGCAAAACCTTTGCTTAAAAATATTTCTGTCCTTTTTAACAAGGTATCAGGCTATTATGATAGAATTCCATGTAAACTGCAGGAAGGTGTAGAGATACCAGTTCCCCTCTTCTGAGCTGTAAATATTGTCTCAATAAATAAATAATAGGATAATGCTCGGGCCCCTTTATAACCGCAGAGGATCAGGAGTGACTAATCATTCCCCCCATGTGAGGCCTCTAACACTCGCCTCCAAGACTTCTCCAGGGCTGCACCTCTTCTGTGGAACTCCCTTCCCTTCTCCGTAACACTTTCACCCAGTCTCCACTCATTCAAAAAATCATTAAAAACTCACTTCTTCAAGAAAGCATATCAATTAAACTGTTAGCAGGTTTTTATCCCCCACCCCCCATGACTCCTCTCCTGCAACTGTCAAAAATAACCTACTAAGCCCTCAGTGAATACTTTTCTAACAACCTACTTCGTACCCCTACTTTTACCCTTTCTGTCACCATACCCCACTCCCTCTACAATGTAAGCTCATTTTGCTGGGCCTCCACCTCTCTGTTCCTGTACGTCGAGTTGTCTGGTTACAATTACATGTCTGTTAGTCCACCGATTGTACAGCGCTACGGAATGTGATGGCGCTATGTAAATAATAAAATAATAATAAGAATGAGGGGTCTCTGGGACAACCACTAACTTAGAAGAATGCTGGGGTCTTTGTGTTCCCCTACTAAAAGCAGTGATGGTGGAGAAAGGGGAAAAAAATCAAATGGGGACCATTGTATAGAACCTGCATAACGGTCCAATTCTCATGCATCACACAGTTGTCTTTTTATAATTGTTAACAAATGCCTATTTCATTGAGTAGAAGATATGCATTTAAATACATTGTTTGACTATATAGGACCATGGTAAGTAGATAACAAATATTTTTATTATTGTTTTACAAACATTTGTTTTCAACAGGGAGAGATTTGGGATGACTTCCCCTATGTCCACATTCACATATAGTCGGATGGTTGAATGTAGACATTTAAATTATTTTATTTAGTGTACACATGATGTCTGGTTTATCTAGCATCCTTTTGGGGACATTGAGCATCCTACTGGGGACATCCCAGGGGAGCTGAGTACTCCCCTGGGATGTCATTTAACTGGAGCTTGTAAGGACATGTAAATCCCCTCTCAAATAAATAAATACTACAAACACCGTAACCACTACAGCATGCTATAGTAATTTGGTCCAGGAGTGCACTGGCACCTTTCCCCCCTCCCACTGTAAGTAGTCAAACCACCAATTTTCCCACCATTGAGAAACAGAAGCTCCTGCATGGAGCTCTCCTGAGCTAAATCCTGACCTTCAGGGCCATCTCAATGGCCTGGAGTGTCAGCTGATTGTTTTCAGCCAATGAGCTAAGCTCCGAATGGCAGGGTTTAGATTAACGCAGAGAGCTTCTGGCTCCTATAGTGGAGGTGACAGAGCCCAGGTAAGTTGTCAAGCCATTGGTAAACTGTTTGAATATTTACATTGGGGGACACACCCGCACTCTATACTGGCAATGGCGCTTTAGATGTACCCATACTATGCCACTCATTGAGTGTGAGAATAGATGGGAGTTTGGGTCTTTCTATGTTCTATGTTCTACTAAAGTCATTACCTACATTACTAGAGTACATGGAACCCCTTCAGGGGAGACCATTGCAAAGGATTTTAGGGGGAGCCTGGGATCCCCACAGTTTTTAAACGCTCAATATCACCAACAAAGAGAAAAAACAAAGCAGTAGTTCGGCCTCCATTTTTCTTTGTTTCAAACTTTATTATTGTTATGAATCAATGTGCTCGATTCAGTATGATATAGACTGAATTATTTCGTAAAGAACAAGTTGAAACATATATACTGTACACCTTGCATTACATTTTGTTGGAACGACATGTAAAGAAAGAAAAGGAAAATTACACAATGCAACAAATTAAACAGTTAACAAAAATAAAATAAACTAAGTATGTTCGAAGTTAGCTCAATATTGGGGACAACTTGCTTGAGAAGTTGGCATTATTGGTTGGCCCATTGGTGAGTTGGCCCATTATAATTGTGTGGTTGATAATTATGTTATTACTTGGAGGTTGTCCTGATATAACTGTGGGGGTTGGCTCATTATAACTCTGGTCAAGTACCAGTCTGTAAATTTGAAAGTGGATTTAATTTTGGGTTGGGTAGTTATACCTAGCATGCTGATATATAGTTCTGCCCTCCATGTTATAATCCTACACATTGATGCAAAACAGGCTGACTGGCCATTGGTCCTTGAGGTCAACAATGGATCCTATCCTAGAGTATCCTAGCTTCCTAAACTTTCACCTTTTGCCTCTCCTGACACCATTGCTTTGAATGACCCTGTGCTGATAGCTGAGGCCTAGTGTGCTACAGCCAAACAAGATATTTAGAGAGTTCCAGTTTCAACTAGTAAACAATACTATATGTGAAAAAAATACCTCCATGGGATCCAGACACTAAGTACCTGATCTTAGCTGGTGAATGTTTAGCTGGACAGTAGGACAGCTTGGTTTGATTAATCTAGGGAAAATTTCATTGCATTTAGTTTGGGAAATTCATTACTTGCTGAGTTATTCGAAGATCCACTGATTTCAATCCATTCTGGATCCCTAATCGGTTTAGTCATAAGGTACCTGGTTTGAGAACCTTGACTTGTCCATCTAGAGCTCCACCACTAACTAGTTATCAGTTGTGAACAAGGATCCCACCAATCACTCAATGAGTTTGACCTCTTTGGTACTTTATTATTATTATTATTATTGTTATTTATATACCACCAACAGATTCAGCAGAACCACCAACACATTCAGCAGCGCTTAATCTGTTGTTATCACTGCTCTATACATCAAGAAATTATTACCATTGCTCTATACATCAAGAAATTCTATGTAAGAACACTAAATATGAATTACATATTATTTGTTCTCATTGGTCCTGCAGCTGTTTGTATCATACTGGACCATTACTTACAGTGCTCTCTCACTCTCTATGTCCCCAGGCAGTGATGTTTCCCAGGAAAGTTTACTACTTCATGGTCCCTTTGCCCGGAAGCCCAAGAGGATCAGGACGGCGTTTTCCCCATCACAGTTACTGAGGCTGGAGAGGGCGTTTGAGAAGAACCACTATGTGGTTGGAGCAGAAAGGAAGCAGTTGGCCAGTAGCCTAAGCCTGTCAGAAACACAGGTAATGGCAAATAGATTGATGTATGAACTACGCATGGTTTAGGTCTGCGTTAATATAGCTTTTCACAAGCTAGAGAGAGGGGTTTAAAGGTTAAGTATGCTTTAATCAATATGTAATGCTTCAAGGTTTGTGAGAGGTGCATATGACTGAATGCTAGGCCTCTAGGGTATAGCTCAGTCCTCCATGTTTATAGTCTGCTAGAAAAGCAAAATTGATCTTCTTAATGTTATGAAGACACAAATGTAGAAATTATGGGGCACAAAGCTCGACTTAGAATATTTACATTCCATTAGCTTTAACATGTTTGCACCAGTATTAACTAAATGTCCAAGAATTACTCCAAGTGTGCCTTGACATATATATGGCTAATAATATAAAGTGATTTGGCATAAATTAGGACATTACCATTGAAGAGCATTTCTTGAAATGTAGTCTCATTTTTCGGTGTAATTAATTGGTAGTGAATGGGTAATATATTTTTTCAGTGTACTTGATGGATCAATATGATCATATACAGTTCCCTATAGTTGATGATTTATGAGTGCTGTGTCATGTATGTAGTTTATCATGACTGTACAAGTGGTATATTATTAGAACTGTGTGAAGCATTACTGCTATATCACTAATAAATGTCCAGATATATATAATCAGTTATGGAACCCTGTCAAAGATCAGAATATATTTAATCAGTTATGGAACCCTTGTCAATAATCAAATGATATTTGCATTACTGCTATATCACTAATAAATGTCCAGATATATTTAATCAGTTATTGAACCCTGTCAAAGATCAGATTATACTTAATCAGTTATGGAACCCTGTCAAAGATCAGATTATATTTAATCAGTTATGGAACCCTGTCAAAGATCAGATTATATTTAATTAGTTATGGAATCCTGTCAAAGACCAGATTATACTTAATCAGTTATGGAACCATAAAAAAGATCAGATTATATTTAATTAGTTATGGAACCCTATCAAAAATCAGATTATATTTAATTAGTTATGGAACCCTATCAAAGATCAGATTATATTTAATTAGTTATGGAATCCTGTCAAAGATCAGATTATACTTAATCAGTTATGGAACCCTGTCAAAGATCAGATTATACTTAATCAGTTATGGAACCCTGTCAAAGATCAGATTATATTTGATCAGTTATGGAACTCTTGACAATAATCAGATTATATTTAATCAGTTATGGAACCCTGTCAAATATCAGACTATAGTTAATCAGTTATGGAACCCTGTCAATAATCAGATTATATTTAATCAGTTATGGAACCCTTGACAATAATCAGATTATATTTAATCATGTGTGGAACCCCCTCAATGAACATTTTATATTTAATCAGTGTCGGTACCCTGTCAATTATCAAATATAGTTAATGAAAGATGGAAATCTGTCAATGATCAGATTAAATTTATGTAGTAATGGAACCCTGTCAGTGATCAGATTATATTTAATTAGTTGTGGAACCTTGTAAATGATCAGATATATTTAATCAGAGGTGGAACCCATTCAATTATTAAATATATTTAATGAAAGATGGGAATCTTTCAATGATCAGATGATATGTAATCAGTGCCGGAATCCTGTCAATTATCTCATTATATTTAATCAGTGGTGGAACTGTCTCACTCAGATATTAGATTTCTAGAGCTTGAGCAATTTCATTTGTAGAGCCATATAACCAGGCAACGGGCTTCTATAGGGGTTATTGTAGATACTCATTCTAAATGTGTGTGATTCATTCTACATACTTTGAAGAAGATTTGTGTATCTACCACCCTTACAGGAAACAATTATGAAACTTTGGGGTTTATTTAGTAAACTGGCAGTTATGGATAATTGACTCATGCATTGCAAGCTTTAAATCAAAACAGATTATTTAAAATCCAACTATTTATTTTTTTGTACAAGTTTGGGGCTATTTTGGCTCAGATTGTTTAATTCCCTTGTCAATTCTTTGCGTCTCCAAATTTAGCAAGTACACCACATTTTCCTCTAGGTCGCGTTATAACTTCAGGTATGTTAAATAATATCCTACCAACAATTTCTGTACTTATTTTTTTTCATAAAGAGTGGATATAAAATCCCCCCTCTCCCACCACCTCCAGTAAACATTGGCCTTCATTCCAGGGTTACTATAGCTGGATAGTGTGAAACGCAGTCGTGTGCGTGTGTTCTGCGATTGCAGCAGACACAGCTGGACACGTTGACTTATTTGTGTATATACTTCGACACATTCGCCTCAAACCATCTGTGATATATTCAGCTTTATATGCTAATATTTCCATTTTTAACCAGACATCTCCGCACAGCTAGCTCTAAATATTCACCTAATGCTCCCCGCTTTGCAGCTCAAACGCTGTATAGTGCTTCAAACATATGGAGATTTATACTAATTATAATCATATACCGCAATATGTCCCCATAACTAAACTACGTAGAGATAAAAGCAAATGAAGATCTGTAATAATTATAACCATATACTGCACTGGGAGCCAGCCACAAAAATGCTATATAGTGCTAATTATTACTGTGTACTGCCATGGGACCTGCCATGGGATCCCATAACTACTCATTAAATAGTGTTATAAGCATATGAAAATCAATATTAATTCATAAATGAAAAACAATATATCCCCATTGATTCACAATAAACAAACTTCAAAATGGCTACTTTCATTTGTTGGAAGAGATTTGTCAGATGAGTAATAAAAACTGGGACTGGCTTCCAAAAATTCTAAAGCCCGTAAAAGTATAAGATCTGTAATACTATCAGGGTTATCTACTGATGGGAGAAATTGGTGGAGACTCAAGTGATTTTAAAGTGAATTTCAAATTTCAGGTCGGAATAGCCCAGCTGAGAACAGAATTGACTTGGAGAATTTATCTAATTTGGCTTTTGGATACATTTTTATATTCACTTTAAAATCGCTTTGAGTTCCTGGACATAACTGCGGACATCTTACTCAATGTCTTGTTTTTCAGACCCTATATCAGCACATCGCATGGGGTAATTCAATACCAGGCCGCCCAGTAGAACCCAATTGTGGTACATTGTGCTGGGTAACTGAGTTGGAGACTGATTAGAAACATAGAATGTGACGGCAGATAAGAACCATTCGGCCCATCTAGCCTGCCCAATTTTCAAAATACTTTCATTAGTCCCTGATAGAAACATTGGCTAATTAGAATTTGGCTATTTTGCTTACATTTGTAAATGCCTATTGGATTTAGCACAAATTAGTTGAGTAAAAAAAAAAGCAAAAAACCCAGGCGTGGCTAGACCCCCGATGCTACCTCACAGAAGAATCTAGTTTGGGAATTATTTATATTTTTTATGTTCTCCGTAGGTTGCAAAGCATTTTGTGGCTCCTATCACGAGAGATGTAAAAAACAGAATATTTACAACTTTGTTCTGCATCATGGTCCTTATCTTAACCCCTTAAGGACCGAGGACGGTTCAGGACCGTCATCGGCATTTTTGCGTTGCCGACCGATGACGGTCCTGAACCGTCCTAACGGTCTGGGGGTACTTACCTGATCGCCGTCGTTCCCCCGGCGGCGATCAGTGTTCCTCCGGTTGTGGGGAGACTGCCTGCAGCCCAGACAGTCTCCCCACGGCAGATTAGGACCCCTGTGGCCATGTGATCGCTTAACACAGCGATCACATGGTCACAATAGGTGTCCATGTGTCTGCCTGCAGGGGGACTGTCTGTGCTGACAGGCAGTCTCCCTGCTTGTGTAAAATCAGAAAAAAAAAATAAAGTTAGTGTTAATTAAAAAATAAAAATAATTATATATGTGTATATATGATATATAGACATATATTATATCTATATAATATATGTCTATATATCATATATATATAATGTCATACTAAGTGTATTTTTATATTAATATGTACTTATATTAATATAAAAATACACTTATAATTAAATTACACGTATATATATAATATATATAATAACTATATATATTGTATATATATATTATTATAAAATATAAATAATAAGTAATTTAAATTAAATAAATTTTTTTTTAAATAATAATAAAAAATTAAAAAAATTATATAGCTATATGAAATTTTATTCTAACTGTATTTTAAAATTAATATATATATATTTATATCAAAATACACTTAGAATGAATTTGTATATATATCTATGTATATAAAAATAAATAAAAATAATAAGAAATATACATATGTCCATATACAAAATTACATAAATAATTATATAAATATACACGTAGACTTCAAATATATAAATATGCATATATATTTAAATTCTACGTGCGTATTTATGTAATATTTTTACATAATTCAGTAATTTTATTGATTGCAATTTGAGGGACCTGCCTGCCAACCCAGGCCGAAATTCCAGAGAATTTAATTTGCTAGCACTGTATTTTACCCTGTAACGTTCTACGACACCCTAAAACCTGTACATGGGGGGTACTGTTTTACTCGGGAGACTTCGCTGAACACAAATATTAGTGATTCACAACAGTAAAACATATCACAGCGATGATATTGTCAGTGAAAGTTACTTTTTTTGCATTTTTCACACACAAACAGCACTTTTACTGATGATATAATTGTTGTGATACGTTTTCCAGTTTTTAAACACTAATATTTGTGTTCAGCGATGTCTCCCGAGTAAAACAGTACCCCCCATGTACAGGTTTTATAGCATTTTTGAAAGTTACAAGGTCAAATATATGGGTCAAATATTTTTACATTGAAAATGGCCAGGTTGGTTACGTTGCCTTTGAGAGCGTATGGTAGCCCAGGAATGAGAATTACCCCCATGATGGCATACCATTTGCAAAAGAAGACAACCCAAGGTATTGCAAATGGGGTATGTCCAGTCTTTTTTAGTAACCACTTGGTCACAAACACTGGCCAAAATTAGCGTTCAATTTAGTTTTTTTACTTTTTTCACACACAAACAAATATGAATGCTTACTTTGGCCAGTGTTTTCGACTAAGTGGCTACTAAAAAAGACTGGACATACCCCATATTGAATACCCTGGGTTGTCTACTTTAAAAAAAATATGTACATGTGGGGTGTTATTCAGAGATTTATGACAGATAATAGTGTTACAATGTCACTATTGATAAATTTTAAAAATGTATGTTTTGAAACCGCAATATCCTACTTGTACCTATAGCCCTATAACATGCAAAAAAAGCAAAAAAGCACGTAAACATTAGGTATTTTTAAACTCAGGACAAAATTTTGAATCTATTTAGCAGTTTTTTTCATTCGCTTTTGTAGATGAGTAAAAGATTTTTCAAGTAAAAGTCAAAAAACATGTATTTTTTTCAATTTTTCATCAGATTTTTTTATTTTTTTTAAATTAAAATACATGAGATTATATAAATAATGGTATGTAAAGAAAGCCCCTTTTGTCCTGAAAAAAACAATATATATTTTGTATGGGAACAGTAAATGAGAAAGCGGAAAATTACAGCCAAACACAAACACCACAAAAGTGTAAAAATATTCCTGGTCGCAAATGTACAACATCGCAAAAACAGTCCAGTCCTTAAGGGGTTAAGCTTGGCCAAACGTTACTTCAACAGACCTCAATAAGCTTAGATATTTCTCACCTAGCTGGCCAAGCTTGTGTGAGTTCGTCTTATATTGTCTGTTATTAACTATAAAAAAAAAAAATGCAGAGTTTCATTTTGTCCCACACTAATGTGATAGAATTGTGTATTCTTGTGCCATCGCTGTTGTGGCATGACTGCGAACAACCATGTAACGTGAGCGGTAATAAATAAAGATAGACAAAAAAAATACAAATATTTACAACTTTGTATAAAATACACCCAACATTGGCATGGGGTCGGGTAAAAATTGAGTGCAACTCATGTTACTGCCCAAATGGGGCAGGCTGGCCCAGAAAAGTGGTGGGTCTGCCTATGGAATTGACAGGCATGCCCACTATGGATGGACCATGCAGACTGTGACCCTAGAGCCCTGAGCATAGTGTAAGCACATCTTATGATGCACTTGCGCTACACTTTTTGGAGACAGTTACCTAGTGTCCTCAACAGTGGGACACCAGGGAACAAAGGCCTTCATTTCATTTCCCTGAATCAGAATCAAAAAATATTCCAATAGTTTCAAATGATTTATCTGCAAAATTTTCATAGAAATGAATGGTGACTTCTGTAGAAAAATTATTTGAAAAGTTTTTTCTAAAATATTAGAATAATGTCTGACACTGATCCAAGACAAATTAAATCAAGGTCAAAATCAGGACAGCAGGATTGGACCCTGATATCATGACTGTCCTGCTGATTGGGACTATTTGGAGGCCTCCTATAAAATTTGGAAAACTCACGCAGGTCTAAATGTATTTGGAAATTACTGAAATTTGTAGCAGGTTTTAAGGATCCTACATGCAGTGTTTTTTCTTTAATGTATTTCTGAAGCCGCTATTACTGTGCAAGAAATATTAAGACATACGTTTAATGTCATGTTTTATAAAAAGGATCGGTAATGTTTAACGCTATGCCAGCCTGACATTTTCCGGTTATTTATTATATAATATTTTTAAAACAGTACTAAGCTACATAGTGTTTTTTGCTACCTACCACTTAAAATGTACTGTTTTACCAGAATCTTCTTAAATTATTTTCTTGTAAACACTAGCATAGCATCTTCCAGAGGTTTCTCAGTCAGTGTACAGATTCTTTCCTGCAGAGTTTGCAATTTAGAGGATCAGTGAAAGATTTAACTTTAATATGAGTTTAGTAGAACTATATGTATTGGGGAAATACGTTTTAGGTACCGTATATACTCGCGTATAAGTCGATCCGAATATAAGTCGAGACCCCTAATTTTACTCAAAAAAACTGGGAAAACTTATTGACTCGAGTATAAGACTAGGGTGGGAAGTGTGTATGAGTGCAGTGTGTGTGAGTATGAATGCAGTGTGTGTGTATGAGTGCAGTGTGTGTGTGTGTATGAATGCAGTGTGTGTGTGTGTGATGCAGAGTGTGTTTGTGTGTGTGATGCCTTGGTGGGGGGTGGGCATTTTTATTAATTTTCTTTAATTGTTATTATTATTTTAATATTAATTTAATTTTTTTTAATATTATTATTATTTTATTATTATTTATATTTTTTTTGACCCCCTCCCTGCTTAATACATGGCAGGGAGGGGGGCTCTCATTCCCTGGTGGTTTAGTGGCATGGGCTGTGTAGGAGGGGGGCTGGCAGCAAGCTGTAACTTACCTTTCCTGCAGCTCCTGTCAGCTCCCTTCTCCTCCGTGCCGGTCAGCTCCCCTGTCAGCTCCCCTGTAAGTCTCGCGGTCTGAGTGCTGCGCGGAGTGTTGCCACGGTAACCCGTGGCAACGCTCTGACCCCGCGGCTCTCATGAGACTTACAGTGGAGCTGACCGGACCGGAGGAGAGAGAAGGGAGCTGACTGGAGCTGCATGAAAGGTAAGTTACAGTTCGCCGCCAGCCCCCAACCGGAACGCCGGGCTTGTAATGAGCCCGGCGGTCCTGGTCTGTATTATGGCAATGTAAGTTGCCATAATACAGACCTTGACTCGAGTATAAAACGAGTGGGGGGTTTTCAGCACAAAAAATGTGCTGAAAAACTCGTCTTATACTCGAGTATATACAGTATATATATATATATATATATATGTAAAAAAAAACATCTCTTTGGAATGCTCATATCATATCTTTCAAAATTAACTTTTTGTAGGTGAAAAGTACGGGTTAACTTTCAAGTGAACTATATCGTAATCAGTAATGGCACCATATGCTTTGATGCACCTATAAATGATTCTCTTCCCTTCCACCTTCCACTGTTCTCAATCTTGGTTTTTGTTTTTTGTTTTCCTGCCAGGAACATTAAATCACTGCTTTATCCGCGAGTTTTTGCGCAAATACATTTGCATATAGATGGGAGGGGTGAGAATGCTAGAGGAAAGGGCTGACTCTCCATTGGCTGATGAACTAATGGATATGTAAATGATTCAGCAGTGCGATATTGCGGGAAGTTTGCCTTGAAGGGACAGCGTCTGTATAAATTAGAATTTTTGACAGAATAGAATGCCCAAGGTGGAAAAAGTGGATAATGTAATTTAAAATTACTGTCACCTATACCGATTTCTATTCAGCTTAAATAGACAGTACAACACAATCAGAAGATTGTAAGAACACTGAGAGATGGTGTTTTTTTTTACAATTTCTTATTCTAATATTTGCCTTTATTTTTCTGCCTTGCTTAGGTACCGGTGCTTGCATTACGAAATCACTTCATATCACAAAAAAAACAACTTAATGTAATCAGTGCAATGCGCAACGGAGGGTAATTTGTAAAGAACAATGGCAGGGCACTGCATGGAAACTGATTTGCTTCGAATTTTGCACCAGAACTTCTCTGCATTATACTGAGTATCCGGTTTTGGACATGGTGACAAATTGCTCTGAGCTACACAGTGGTCTAAGCAGTTTTTTTTGTTTTTTGTTTTAACTAACTGCTGAGTTAGAGTCTAAAGTCCAGAGGAAATCTTGCAAAAACTTTGGGTACTTTGAGTACACACAGAATTCACCAATCACACCAAAGGTTCCTCAAGTCATGTCCCTCTTGCATGTAGCACCAGATTTAGAGAATCATGTTTATCCCTCGTTTAGCATCTCAGAGCACATATTAATCAATGTATTTTGTGCTGACGTAGATACATCCCATATGATAAATGTCCCCACCACTATGGCAGGACTTAACATTTGTAATCTTATGCTACAAGCCAGGTCATAAAAGTTACTCACCACCACAAGCTATAGCATACCCTTCTGGAGTGAATTTCTACTTGACAGGGCTATATTTTCACTTGTAAATTAAATGGCTAGTAGAAAGTGGAAATTCTAAGTCTTGACGGTGGTATAGCACCCGAGTGTAGAGAATATTATTGGATGCTGCTTATCTTGAGAGCACACCTCTAGAAATCTCATATCCATGGCAATATTCTAATTTCAGACTTCAGAGAAGGATAGTAACATGATAATATTGGTTTAAAAAAAATCATGTTTCACCTTTCAAATGGTCTTACGTAAAACTTTTATTGTGTTCGGTGCAAACGATCAGATCTTTCTTCACTGTGTAGATCAACCCCATTAGACTGATGTTCCCTGGATAATAGGTGTAAAGAAATACCTGGATAATTGGAATGCAATATTACGCCACACATACACACCACAATATAGGAGCTACATGCAAAGGCAGGATCCTTGGAGCCTCTTCCCCTCTCACAGTCCTCACTTCCTCTTTGCTCATGTTGCAACCAAATTCTCACAACTGCATGAGATTAAAGAGGGGTTTAAGAGAGAACCAGAGTTTGCAGTTGTTCCAATTGAGTTTACATTGAGTTCATACATGTATGCAAATTGCTGTACATGTCCATTTCTTTAACATCAATTTGTAAAATCAAACGCCTGTTATAAAGAATAAATGGCTACTTAGATCATGTGTACGGCAATTTCCATGATCTGCCAATCAAAAGCTTTTCTGTAGGACACATCACATTTTATACTTCCCTATTAGAAGCATTGCATGCACTCACAACAAAATAGAGGAAAACATTTGGAACAAGGAAAATTCACTATAAACCTGCTAAGCGGAAACCTTTTTTTCCAAATTACTTAATTGGAAAAAATATTTTTCTGTACTCTCGTTCCTCATAGACTGTAAGCTCATTTGTTTACGACCTTCTTCACCTCTTGTTTCTGTTAGTGTTTTGTATGTCAATTGCATGTTGTAAAATATTCCTATTCTATAATTGTGTATATATTGCAGTATGTTGGCGCTATATAAATAAAAATAATGATATTTTAAATTTTCTTATCTTTTTTTTTTTTTTACTCAAATCTATCTTAAAAACTACAACCTAGAGAACGTTCTGTACAAATAAAATATTTAAGTTTTTGCATCAGCTCTAGGAGACCCCTTTTTGAGTTTCAATTACAGCTACCTGAACATTGTTTTACATTTCTGTGCCACATACATTTGGAAATATCACACGATTTGAATCCCTTAAATACCTTTGGTTTAAGATCTGTCTGAGATGTCAGGAACTGGATTACCTCATTTTTTAAACACTTCATTGAGAAACCGGTGGAACTCCATTAAACAGGTGTAGAACCAGGAGGAACCTTGAGATTCATGTATGGTGTGAATGTCAAAAGGTTTTGTCACTAGAGCTGACCCAAAACATCAAAAGTGTTTCCATTTCCTAAAACGTTACATTTCCTTGGAGGAACACATGCCCAGTAACACAAAAGAGGAGTAACGTTGACTCACAGACATGATCTAGTCTTGAAAAGAGGAGATATCTCTTCTATGAGAAGAGGTGATGAGGTCAGGTTCTGTTCCTTTGTCTCTGTTAAAAGAACTATTCTATGGCATTCTCCTTATCCCCTTATTCTCACTTTCCTGGATATTTACACAGGTGATCCAAGTCATGTTAAGCCATGTCTGTCACATCTGGTTGGTATTACGGTTTCTAAAACAAATAAGTGGCCAGGAGCAAAATTTAGAACAGAGATAATAATTTAGATCTCCCATTAAAGCTACTTTGGGTTGGTGGGGGGAATGTCAGAATGCACTATGTATTAAATTGACATTAAATATGTGCTGAATAAGGATCTTTACATTGTGATGTTATAGATTTTGTAGATAGATAGATACCATTATAGTCCCGTTAAACTACATTATGAAATGAATCTTCTACATTTGAACATTATCTTTAGTTTAATAAACTGATATTTTGTTGCATTTTCCCCCCCGCAAGATAGATTTTAAAATTGGAGTATTAATCATGCAGTTTGTATTTTCACATTCCCATGGGTTGTGGCCAAATTAGAGTTTGTGGATCACACTGCATATCTTGAAGTGATACGATGTGCATAACTGCCATCACGCTAAGTTCTCACCCAGTAGATTCTATTTGAGATATATGATATTATTCATGCATGGTATTATTTTCACCACCCATTTCACGTCCCTGTCATGTTTAGTCTATCAAACTTCGCAGCAGACATTAACCTGGTTTTATTGTTCTATTCTTTGGGTCCACGTAGGGTAAAGCAAACTGCTAGTGATTTATTATGTGACAAACTCTAGATAAAGTTTTTTTGTGTGTGTAATACATAGTCTGTGTGTTAGTAATTATCTTTCCATACTCCCAGCAGCTTGATCACATAAAACTGAAAATAAATCTATATTTCTAAGAATTGCAGTTCAGATTAATGATAATGAATATTAGTAACTCTAAATATAAATCCCTACAAGGGACATGATGGCAATGGCTTAGCTGGTGGGAAAGGTTATCAGACTCTTCTTTTGGTTATTAAAGCAAGATTCCTCTCTGCGAGTTCCGCCATGATAAGAGTGGAACATCGGGACATCTTTACAAGAGAGATGACTATTGAGGGCTGGACACTTTCTTAATGTCCTCGATCCCGAGATGCAGCTCTGCTTTGTAGTAATTGTAAACTCATTCAAAGAGCATGTCACCATTTTTCTGACCATGTATTATTATTATTGCCATTTATATAGCGCCAACAGATTCCGTAGCGCTTTACAATATTATGAGAGGGGATTTAACTATAAATAGGACAATTACAAATAAACTTACAGGAACAATAGGTTGAAGAGGACCCTGCTCAATCGAGCTTACATTCTATAGGAGGTGGGGTGTAAAACACAATAGGACAGGAAATAGCAATCAAATAAGGTGGGCTGTCCTTTAGGAGAGGGCAAGAGACAGGTATGTGAGGTAGGGGTTAGTCTTGGAGGCCATAAGCTTTCCTAAAGAGATGGGTTTTAAGGCACTTCTTAAAAGATGCAAGACTAGGGGAGAGTCTGATGGCGGGAGGCAGGCTATTCCATAGGAAGGGAGCCGCCCGCGAGAAGTCCTGCAAGCGCGAGTTGGCCGTACGGGTGCGGACAACAGACAGGAGGTGGTCACGGGCAGAGCGGAGAGACCGAGAAGGGACATACCTATGGATCTGTGAGGAGATATAAGAGGGTCTAGAGTTGTTCAGTGCTTTATAGGTGTGAGTTAGTGCCTTGAATTGACTCCTATAGTACACAGGAAGCCAATGTAAGGACTGGCAGAGGGGTGAGGTGTGAGACTAGAGAGGAAAATCAGTCTAGCAGCAGCGTTCATTACAGACTGTAGGGGTGCAGTACGGCTTTTGGGAAGACCAAGCAGGAGAGGGTTACAATAATCCATGCGGGAAATTACTAGAGCATGGACAAGCTCCTTGGTAGTATCTGGTGCAAGAAACACCATGTACAATGGCTTGTGACACTACGTATACAAAATGTATGCAAATTGAATTTAAAGTGAATTGAAAATTCAAGGTTATGATAAGTCGATCTGGAAACTTTCTCTAAGTCAACTATAATTCCCGTTTAGCTACTTTGGACTTAAATTTGAGATTGACTTTGAATTCTCCCTTTAGTGAATGATGCTGATAGTGGTTACATTGATAGTGTACCCTACATCAATAGAGTATAGGATGCCATGGGGTAATAGAGTATAGGAATCGTAAGGTATGTCCACAAATGGACACTTGCATTATTTGGAGTCTAACATCCATCACCCTAACCAAACACCCAATCACAACCTTAAGTAGTTCTTTAATCTTATGGTGATGTTTTAGATTAAACACTGTAATTATACTCTACTCTTATGAATGCAAAGGGCAGAGGAGAGAATATTTGATAGAGTCCTAACCTCAACATCTGAGAAAAGGGATTTAGGGCTGATTATTTCTGATGACTTAAAGGTAGGCAGACAATGTAATAGAGCAGCAGGAAATGCTAGCAGAATGCTTGGTTGTATAGGGAGAGGTATTAGCAGTAGAAAGATGGAAGTGCTCATGCCATTGTACAGAACACTGGTGAGACCTCACTTGGAGTATTGTACGCAGTACTGGAGACCATATCTTCAGAAGGATATTGTTACCTTAGAGAGAGTGAAGTACTAAACTGGTTCATGGATTGCAGGATAAAACTTACCAGGAAAGGTTAAAGGATCTTAACATGTATAGCTTGGAGGAAAGACAAGACAGGGGGGATATGATAGAAACATTTAAACACATAAAGGGAATCAACACAGTAAAGGAGGAGACTATATTTAAAAGAAGAAAAACTACCACAACAAGAGGACATAGTCTTAAATTAGAGGGACAAAGGTTTAAAAATAATATCAGGAAGTATTACTTTACTGAGAGGGTAGTGGATGCATGGAATAGCCTTCCAGCTGAAGTGGTAGAGGTTAACACAGTAAAGGAGTTTAAGCATGCGTGGGATAGGCATAAGGCTATCCTAACTATAAGATAAGGCCAGGGACTAATGAAAGTATTTAGAAAATCGGGCAGACTACATGGGCCGAATGGTTCTTATCTGCCGTCACATTCTATGTTTCTATGTTTCAAAGCGGTTATGGTATCACTCAGCTTTTGAAATTTTTCATAAGAGACATTTTACCACTTTATTTTGGTTGCTTACCTTGACATGACTGAATTGAGAAATGGAAAATAGGCATAACTGTCAGCAATAGTCCAATTACTTCATAAAATGTGATAGTATTTTTTGATTCTTATTATGGTCACTAAGTCCCACTTGATCCTAAGCAGGTGATCAGTTTGGGCACCCTTTTCACTTAATACCTTCGTGCCTCAGATACTCGCATCTCCAGCCTTTCACACGTATGTAAAAACAGTAAATGTAGTTAGAGTCTATTGAGGGTCTTTGTGTGAATTCAGGGTTGATATTAAATGTAATGTCAGTGCAAATATATCCTGCATTGATGCTGAGGAGTAAATCCAGTGTGTGCTGGGGCCAGACCCCTCTCAGAATCCCAGGCCCTAAGGTCATAGGTCCCATACCATTGGTTTTGCTATGTTTGGTAAACCTACCATCCAACTAACAAGGTTTTTCTTCCTATTTTTGCAGGTGAAGGTTTGGTTCCAGAACCGAAGGACAAAATACAAGAGACAGAAGCTTGAGGAGGAAGGTCCAGATTCTGAACAGAAGAAAAAGGGTTCTCATCACATCAATAGGTGGCGATTGGCCACAAAGCAACCCAATGGAGAAGACATTGATGTTACTTCCAATGATTAGACAAATGGATTTCAAAAACTAGAATAGATTTCAGACTGCAAATCACCCACGGACGTAACAGAGGCACAAAGTGGAAAACAAATATAATAAACTGAGAATCCGATTGAGCTTATCAAACACTGAGAAAAATCATTTCACACCTGTTAACATGTAGGCCAGAAGTTGACCGGGGTAATCATCGGAAATAGGACTCATGCACTTGTCATAGAAGAGGAGGAGGGCAGGTGGTCCAAACCTGCTGATAACTCGTACAGACTTTTATCAGTTGAACATTGATCACCAACTAATGAGTACAAATGTTCTCTTTCTCTATCTTCTTTTTGGCCTCTCTTTTTCCCCTAATTTTTTTTAATTTATTTTCTTTTCCTGATAAAGTAAAAACAAGAAAAGCAAACAGTAGCTATTACCAATTTAGTGTGTAAATGTGTGTTAATAAAAATAATATTAAAATGTAAAGTTTGAACTCTCTTATAATGATGCACAAAGTGGTTATTTTAGGTTAAATTCAAGTTAAAATACTTTTTTTATTGTAACAGAATGTGGTATGTTAAGCATCTGCACCATTGTGGTGGCCCTCACTCTGGTGACCTGGTGAGTTTTCCATAACTATACTGTCTTCTAATAGAAATAAAAGGCTGGACATTGTACATGTCTCAAACAATATGGACAGATGGATTGTCTCACCTGTGTTCATATAAATGTGCCCTGATTCTATGGTTAGAAGATAGAGGTTTGGGAACATGAATGTAGACATTTTGGCTAGCATAAAAGTAAGGAAAGGCAAGTGGATGATGGACATTAAATTAGGACATTTTCAATTAATTGAAATTGTAACTTTTGTATCTTGTACCGGACATCTTTTTCAATTTAACCTACACTGTCAGGATGAAACTCAAATTTTAGCAAATTAAGTCCTCTATTTATTAAGCTTTACAAATGATTCAATACTTTTTAAAAAAAACTTTTCAAATGATTTATCTACAAAAAAATCCCATGAAGTTAATGGGTGACTTTTGTCGATAATTTATTTGGAAAGCTTATTAAATCGAGGCCTATATTTAAATGATAAAATTAAGTCTACAATAGCTGATTTTGAAGAATTTCTTCATTTCAGATAGAGTCACATCTTATCTATTTTAGCACTAATTTTACCTAAAATGTTGATATAAAGGAGAAATGGAGCCAGAAAAAAGAGCCAGAATAGACATTGAACAGTGTATTTTGGTCAACTCAAAACCAAAATGCAAAAACAAGGGTAAAAATAGTCAAGGAGCTACATGGTTTCATCTGCCATATTCACAAGCAGATTGTCTAGAAAGTAAGGACAGTAGAGAATATTTACTGTAATCATGAATATAAATTGAAAAGATGCAGAAAGTGTGGTCATCTGATGCCAAAGGAGGACACAGTGTGCGTAATCCTGTCTTCAATGTGCCCACTGGTTACCATGGTAATTGTGATACACCACCTACCACTATCCAAATTCAAACACTGTCACATCACACCTCAACCTCTATTCACAACCACTGGTGGGTAATACTAGATACAGACTGAGAGATGAGGTAATTGGCCAAGAATAAGAGATGAGTTCCGTGAGGCACAGATAATATTGCTTTCACCATCTGTATCTGATTCTTCATAAAAAAATTGCATGCTCAAACGACATGTACAGTACTGCTGGACTACTTAAATGTTACCAGTGAGATTGGTGGTTCTTGTTGTGTTGAGCAATTTCTCTAATGGTAAGATGCTATGTGGGAGATTTGTTAAGGTCTTCACCCATTGTGTCTAATGTCATACTGTGATCTTCCCAGAGAGATGTGAGGTTCTGTTCAGACCATTAATGTTGCAGTAGAGGATGCATAGGAAGACACATCATTTTGGACAAATGTGATCAAAGCCCTTCTGACTTGTACAATTGTGCAGTGCCAGGACAATGGTTAATCTGCTGCACACATTCCTTGGCTGGGCATTGAACTAAGTGACTACAAATTATTATTATTATCGCCATTTATATAGCGCTGACAGATTCCGTAGCGCTTTACAATATTATCAGAGGGGGGATTTAGCTATAAATAGGACAATTACAAGAAAACTTACAGGAACAATGGGTTGAAGAGGACCCTGTTCAAACGAGTTTACAGTCTATAGGAAGATCTTGAGATATTAGTGTCCCTTACTCCTTACCTCCATTGTAGTAATGCAGCCAGTTACTGCTCGCCCATGTTACTATGTGAGAGAGGTTGCTTAGTGAGGAAGTGGTCTGGAGTATGATATCTTAAACACATCCCTCCCGCACAGGCACTACCACCCACACAGCAGAGAAAGACATCAGAAGGTGGTCTGTACACTTACACCAGCTCTTCATTTTCTAGCTGCACCACTGGTATCTAATGTATTGGAGAGACAGAACTTGTAGGCTGGGAATGAATCACCAATAACTTGTGTTATGGATAGTAAATCATTTAACAAGTAATATTACAAAACTGTTCATTCCAGACACAACCAAGGCACGCAATGTAAATGATGAAGAGAACAGAAACACTGATTTAATTTCTCCTTTTCCGCTAACATGATTTACTTTGGGATATGAGGAGATGCACCAGGGACACTGGGGATAATATTGAGGATGTGGTACTAAGTAGGTGGAATTTTAGTAGGCAGTGGGGGCAACACTGTGTCCTTGGATCCAGGGAGCACATTGGCCATGTAATAAAATCACTCGGACTGGGGTAATGAGGTTGTAAAATATGGTAATGTGATTGGTGTTGATGGAATTATGAATGTGGTTATTGGGATCGGATGAAGGAATCGTGGTGATTTAATTAGGAAATTATGGGTGTGGAATGAGTTAAATTATGGTGTGAGGTAATTTGTACTCAGTGAACAGATTAAGGTGATGGTGTCAGGAATTTTGGAGACAAGAAAATGTGATCAAAATATTGGGTGAGGAGGTGACTACAGGGATGAGGTAATGTGATTGTACATGGGAATAATGAAGGAATTTCAATGATGGAGTGAGGTATTTATGAGGCTAGAGTGAGGAGAATAAGGGGAAAAGGGCAATTAAATAGTTGGTTGGGAGGGGCTTAGTGTGAATAGGTGATGTGATCACTTGCTGAAATGTATGTGGGAATGGGGCTTGATGGGACGTGGAGTTATATAATTATTACTGTATTGTCGTGATGAGAGGATTAAGGGGAATGTGAATGGTTGGGATTAGTCAACCTTTTCCAAAGTCATCTGGTGTTTCCTGTTGAAACAAGTGGAAAGATTGGAGTCTCTAATGTTATGCTGGGATGTTACCTGAGATTGGTGGAGCTTCTGGTCTAATTCTATGATGGGATGTTACGATTGGTGCTATTATTGGTTCCAACCTGGGCCTCTATTGAAATTCTTAGATGTTACCTGATGGATGCATAGTATTATCTAGACAACGATATGATTGGCAACATCACAGTCTTGTACAGCTATTGGAATACTAGGACAGTGCCAGAGAGATGGCCATGCCTTTCAAGTAGAACATGTAAAGAGGCTGCAGAAATGGAAGAATGTTATGTTAATTTAATCTTAAAGTGTGTAGTACAGAGTCTGCAGTCATTTGCATAAATGAATGTGCTAAGTTTATGGTTTCACCTCACTACCCACAGTGCTTTGCAGCACAACCACAGTTAGTAAATAAACAAGCCTCCTTGTTCTCGTTCACAACCACCTAGTTTTTTGTTTATTTGTTTCATGATGTGTCAGTATTAGGTTTGGTAAGTTACTTAATAATATTTACGGTTTTAACGCTAGTAAAACAAATGCTATTTTTGAGAACAAAGCCTGCCAGGTTGGCTGAAACTCGTCGCTGTGAATCGTTTTCCTGTTCCAGTCTACGTGTTTTTTTCTCATGTCTCAGAGAGCCAGATGCCATAAATCCTAGGTGTGGTCACACTTCACAAGATACATCGGAGCTGCTGGTAACTAAATGCATTCAGCACATGCAACACCTTTCCTTGTGTATTTTTACCATTCTGCTCAACTCCTTTGCTACCGTCTCATAGAAACGGAAAAAATAAATGCTGTGCCCAGTTTCACTCATTCCAGACATTCACAAATTCTGTTATTTTTGGAAAAGCTTTAAAGCCACCAAGAAAAAAATTCAAAGAAAGCAAGGAGACATTGGTCCAAGCAATGGGGGGAATTCCTAATTTCTATAATGATTTCTCTGTGCACTGATTCGGCTTTGAATACCATTTAATGCAGCACAGCAGATGGGATTTTTTTTATTCATCTAAAACATACGACTTCCCAAAGCATTTCAAGGCTGAGCTGTAACTTTGTGATGTGCGCATACACAGACACCAGCATGCTTTGCGTGTGTACACATGGATGCAGGGGCAAGGCTGCATTTCTTATGAAACGACTTTGAACCCATGGCTCATTCCTCTTCCATACCACCCCTCCCTCACACCACCCCCACAAGCATCTTGTAGCTAGTTTACAGGTTTGACAAGTATCCTGAGTCTTCCACCAGTTCCCTTTTGTAGATTTCCAATGCCAGGTCCTGTAGGTAGAGCTATTCACTAAACACCAAATTGTACCGGTTTGAAATCTGAATGGCATCTGAAAGTGGGGTAAAATAGCCACGCTGTGTCCATAACTTAGTTGAACTGAACTTTTCTAGATCAGCTATTTCAACATCAGTTTTGCCATTCGGATTTCAATCTAGTACATCTTGGCATTTAGAGAGTCACCCTGATAGTCTTTTATTATTTCCTGGCCCAGGATAGACTCCTTAACCCATGGAGGATGCGGCTTCTGGTCAATATCTTCTGTTTCTGCGGTATTCTCGCTATATTTAAAAAAACCTGCAGGCACCATAACCGCTTATGCTCCCTGTAGTGGTTATGGTGCCAGAAAAGGTGCCCATTTAAAATAGTTTGACTTCTTACCAAAGGTGTGGTGGGTGCAGCTCCATTCTTATTCTGCAACTTTAAAATACAATCTGAGCTCCCTTATTATCTTGCCTGCTAGGTGCAAAAATAACGCACAGCGGCTTTTGGGTAAACCATCCATATACCTAATCTCAACTATCTCGAAGGATACCTGATTTTATTCAATGTTTCTGGTCAGTCAATCTCACCTTGTGCTCTGTCATCTGTGAAATAACGTAGGGTGGAAAAGGTTTTTTTGGTATCAGAGAGTATGCTCCCAGGAATGATGTATGATTACATTCCTGGGTGTCTTTTAGTCATTTTTTAATTTTATTTTCAAAATATGTTATTGAAGAGAGAGTCACAGGCATAAGACAATGAAATGAAATATTCTATATAAATGATAGAAAGTTGCAGGGTTTAAAAACAAGCAACAATGAGAGATTTTTCACACTAGAAAGAGTTATCTGATGAACATACATTGTCAACAGTGAATTAGATCAATAGTCA